AAATGAGCCATTACTGTAATAACAGAGTGGCCAGGTTGACAAAGCTAAAATCTGATCAACCTTAACTGCTAGGATATTTCAATAGTCAAACAGCAGTTTCAGCATTTATTCAGCATTATTTAATGTTAGTGAGTTAATGAGTATTTTTAATATTCATGACAACTACAGCCGGTCAGGGATTTTTTAGGGAAAAGGTTTAACACCCCATCGTAAAACCTGCCCCCGAATCTCAAAATTTCATTATTTTGTTCCCTTGCCCCTACATTTATACCTTTGTGCCCTTGAGATCTTTAAAAAAATTGCCTAACTCTGCAGCCATAATTATTTTCTGAAGCCTTTAATAAATTTTTACTCTAACACCTGACAGCGATCTAGATGGGGCCATATGTATGAACAAGAAGAAATGATTTCTTCATCTATTGACCCCTTTCACCAAATTTTTAAATTAAATTTACTGAATGATTTTGAAGTTTTCTAGATTATTGAAAAGAAGTTTATGGGTACAAGAAATAGGGTAAAAACAGTTGAATTAAGCAAGATGCAAGTAACAATGAACAAGACCGGGTCACTGGATGGTATTTCAGCACACTGGTGGACATGCAACTTAATACTTGCAACCTGTGTCACATTTATATAGTTTTACACTGTACTGGAAAAATAATGTCAAGGAATTTGTAGAGATTCAGAATGCACACTCCATGGTTTATTTAATCACCAGCATGCATGAATCATTTTATGTTATGAATATTTTTGTATAATTATTCTCACTTTATTGATAATTACATATCAATTTTCAATATCATAAATGAATATATAATTACTGTAGCTTTTGATTATATAAGTTATAATAATATATCAGCAAATAATGACTGGTCTCTCTGAAATCTATATATAATATAGAAAGTTTAAATTTGACTTCCACTACCACTACTTGATCTGGCAGTTGCATCCGATTGTTTGAGTGGATAAATGAAATTTATCTGGTTAATAGTTAATGATAGCAATAGCAGTAGTGGAAGTCAAATCTGATCTCTCTATTATTTTTTGAAGATTTGCTCTGGTCACTTCAATTGAGGGTTGCCCATGCAACTTGGTTAGCACAGCTAGCTCTTCAAGTTGGAGGTCCAATTCTTAGGATTCTGCAAATTAATTCTAGCAAACTGGCTTTGGTTTGGGATAAGCAAAAATTATCACACTGTTTACACATTTATCATGCTGATTTGGTTGTTTAACAGTTATCCAGGCTGCATGTTTTTTTGTCCTGCATATGGTAGATGGGCCAGTCCGGCTTCCAAATGTTTATGTGGGGAATTAATATTAATCCTGGCTTCTGAGTGAAGGTCTTGCCTGCTTTATGCAAGAGCAGGGTCTATGCGAGATTCCAATTGCTACACAGTATGATCTCAGGGCTCTTCCTCTGAAACAATGTTTGGTTGCGATATCATCCAGCAAGTGCAAAAATGCACTACCATGGTCAAGGATCATTTGGCATGTTCATCGACCATGTTAACCCATTGAGTGGCGGCATGCACTGTCCACCTGACGAGTAAAATTGTCTGGCGTTAGACAGAGTAAACTAACAAAGTACGATGCATTGCCACTTAAAGGGTTAAAAACGTAAATACCACAGCACAACACTTGTACATATACAATCCTTTTATATATTTAATGACTTCATATTTACATATTGGTGAAATATCAATGTGACAATGTCCATATATTAGGGATGTCCATGAACTTGTCTCTAGTTTGAAGTTCAAGTAATTCATATCTTTTGTATAAGTTGTCTCTCTACAAACCAACTTTTAGTCATTATACAAGAGTTGAATTTGCATTCATTTGCTTCGCAAGTCGCAACAAACTGAACAAAGTACTAAACCATAAACCTGTGCAAATGATCGAGCGTCTTGAGCGACATATCCAAGTCTTTTAAACGTCTCATACGAACAAATCTCACTGAGTTTTTCTACAGAAAGTATTGATCCCTTTGATCGATTGCCGTACTTTTAGAAAAGCTTGAAATGCAAAATTCACAGGGAAGATTGAAGAATTTCGAAAAAAAACGTACTATACATCCATGCTAGGCTACATTCACCATACTATATCCCATACTACATCCTACTACAACGTATTATATCCATACTATATCCATAATACATACTATACATATCCATACTATATCCATATTACATACTATACATATATATATATATATATATATATATATATATATATATATATATATATATATATATATATATATATATATATATACGTATGTATATATATATATATATATACATATATACGGCCGTGTTGTATCGGATATACAAACTCGAGCCGAAGGCGCCGAGAGTTTGTATATCCGATACAACACTGACGCTAATGTTGTAAATGGCTTAAAAAACGACTCATCTTATGAGTTCATTGGCGAAGTAATTTTAAAAATAAACGTTGTCTAAGCCGAGAAAATCAAAGTTAAAGTTTATGTAAATCAACATGAATCTGTGTCACATATACAGATACGACACACTTATGATTTTTCTTTGTGTTTTCTTCATGAATTATTAATGAGTTTTTTAATAAAGGTAAACAAATACAGTAATAAGATATAACATACCATTATAGATACAGTACAGCTAGGTCAGTAACTGTACCCAGTGGCATAGCCAACAATTTAGTCCCGCTATGCAAATTCAAAATTATTATAGTATTCATTATATTAGAAATTGATTGTTTTCACCGTCAATGAACACGAAAATATTTGCATAGCGGGACTAAATCGTCAGGGTGGCTACGCTACTGACATAACTCTACCTCACTATTGTTCCCAGTTTTGCTAGGCATCAACCATCGTGTCACCTCACAGGTGTTACAAATCAGGTAAAAATGTTAAGTTGGAAAAATTCAGGTAAATCTGACCTCACCTCTCCCCCCAAATGCAAATTAAGTCCTGGCAACCGCCCTGAACTCTGCCCTGATTTAACAAGGTATTTTGTGTGCTTAATGCCATTGAAAAATATATGACAATATGCCAAAATTATATGTCCATTACAGAATCAAGGTGATTGTTTCTAGTAGATACACTGTATTTGGAAGAAATGGAAGTTCATAAGAATTTATAAAGCTCTAAAATGGAGAAATTTTTGTGCAATGATGTAAACTGTTGTTGATTATCAGAACGATCTTAACAGATTTCCTTTCATGAAATTTGGCAGAAATGTTTCTTACAGTCTTGGTTGAACTTATAGTACTAAATAATATAATATTACATGTTCAACTGTATTTATTTGTACCAAAATTTTCAATATTTACGGCAGTTTGCAGGTTTAATTTATTAAAAAATACCACTTTACAATTACAGTACATAATAACACACTTTCCAATGTTTAGATTCCTGTTTATGAGAAAGTGTGCAATGCCCTTTTAAACAAGAGGATTAAGAAGGGTATTTGCCAAGCATCACCACTGTCGCAGACTAGCTGTTTGGAGGGATTCCACTCAGTCTTAAATCGTTTTTCTCCAATAATGATTGCATTCTCGTTTCAAGGGATGTATTGCAGGTATATGCTTGTATCTTATAGTTATACAGTATGATCTAGGATGTACAAATGTGGTGTTATGGTTTAACCCCTTTAATAAGTGGCATTGAGCCCACTTTATTATTTTACTCTGTATAACACCAGACGATTTACTCGTCAGGGGGATAGTGCTGTGAATCAATGGGTTAATAAAAGACACAGATGGCTAGGTAGTCTTGTTTCACCATCATTGTCAAGATATTTCCTGTTAATATTATCATTAATTAGCACTCTTCACTTGACGAGTACATATAGGATATTAGACGGTTGCGAAGAGAGATGGATTTTATGTTCGAGTGGCAAAAACAATATCTCACGAGTGAGCGCAGCAAATGAGTGAGATATTGTTTTTGACACGAGAACATAAATCCATATCTTCTCGCAACCATTTAATGTTCTGTTTATTATATGGACTTACTCAGAGTCACAAAAATACACACAAAAACGACATGTAAATAAGCACGCGAAAGATCAGTATAAAAGCGATATTTTTTAGAATTATAATGCAAACATAAAACTAGAATAAATTTTACTTATTTCAAGATGTCTTTTAAATGTTTTCGTTTTATTTCCAACGTTAATTTCGTTTTAAATACGAACCAAAGACCATTTGTATTTTCAAAACAACAACAGTGAAAATGGCGGGAAATTTTCATAACTTCGTATGTCACTAGCAGGGGTGAAATACGAAAATACGCGCACCTGGCCCAGGATGTAGTGACGTATGAGTTCTACGAGTGTTTTAGTTTCCAGTAAAACACCATTGTCCACATAATAAAGTAAAATAATCTGGCATTAGACAGAGAGTAAAATACTAAGTAGGGTGCATTGCCACTTAAAGGATTAACAGAACAACAACTATTTGGTACAACTAATATTATCTTCAGATATGAACAGCTAAAACTAGAGCTGCAGTATTATTTTACAATATTTACACACATCTTGGTTATTTATTTTAACAAGAACCTCAACAGAGATGAACTATGAACCCAAACTGGAAAGTCACAAGTCAAAGTTGTGTACCCAAAATTAAAAAATGGCGAAGCCACTGTACTGAGTGTTCGAGTCCAGCAGAATTTTGGCCCTAACAAAAAAAGTCTATAGACCTTGGCCTATAGGCCAACCTATAGGAAACCTATAGGTTTTTATAGGCAATTGGAACATTTTCTATAGGTGACCTATAGGGATGCCTATAAGCCTATAGATTTCTATAGGTGCCTAAAGGCTTGTATAGGGAATTGGAACATTTCCTATAGGAACCTATAGGCCACCTATAGACTTTATTCGTCAGGGTAAGATTTAAAAAAGCAGTATACATGTACATATTGTGGCTATACTGCCTTAAGTGGTAGACATATTGAGGTTTGCAATGTCATTCATTCATTACATTTAGGTTATGTTGAAGAATTATATCAGACCATGCTAAGTGCAGAAAGTGATGAAATAAAAAAGGCATATAAAGAATTAGTAAATATGACACCAGCTCCAATGAATACAATGCTGGAAAAGCAGCCAAGAAATGAGGCTATAAAGATGATTGAACACAAGGGAATGGTTGTTGCCAACATTCCACCTACTGCAGGTACTGTACAAATAAATGTATACTGTACAATACATTGTGTAAAATATACATAATGGTGTGACTGTAGGAAGTAATATTGAATCTTAATATGTTTCAACAAAACTTTACTGTACATTCACAAAAACCATTTATTTTCTTTAGCACCTTCTACTGTACAAGTCCAACCACCACCTCCACAAGAACAAGCAAAACCATGTTGCAGAACATGTGGCCAACCTATGAAAGGCCATAAAAATGTTCTGAACTGTCCAAGGAACCAAAAATAACATTTCAATAATTCTAATGTATAAATATACAGTAGATGTAAATATTTTATTGAAAATTAATCATGATACAAATTTATAGATATCTCTGTGAAAGCAATTCTACTTCATGATTGGTTATTTTCGCTAAGGAG